CTCCGCCTCCAGGCCCAACCTCGTGCTCAGGACCAACGAAGACGAAGGCGCTGACGACTTCTTCGGAGCGAGGGCGCAGGTGCCCTATGTGGAGGAGGTGAGAGGGGGGAGAGGGGAGAGGAGAAGGGGTGAGGGAAAAGGAGAAGAAGGGAAGTAGAGAGAGGGGAGAAAGGAGATTTAAGAGAGAGAGAAAGTGGAGGGGGAGAGGGAAGAGAAGAGATGAGAGGAAAGAGGAAGAGGGGGGGAGGGGGAGGAGGGAAGAGAAGAAAGAGGAAGAGGGGAAACAGGGGATTTAGAGGAGTGGTGAGAGTGAAGAGAGGGAAAGGAAAGTTAAGGGGAAATGAGAAGGAGAATAGAGGATGAAAGCTATAAGAAGGAACAGTAGAGAGAGGATAATATTTCTTTACTTTATTATCATGCCACATCATTATTTTCTTCATTATTGATCCACATCATTCATTCCCTTATTAATTTACATCATTCATCACTTTATTATTGATACATATCTATTTCTTTATTATTAATTCACATTCATTACTTTATAATTGATGCATATCATCCATTTCTATTATTAATTCACACCATTCTTTCTTTTTCTAATGATCCTTACCATTTGCCCGCAGGTGATCGTTCAACACGCCTACAGGAAGGACAACTCAGTCATTATTCAGTGGGATTCTGAAGTCTCCAATATTCTAGGCTTCAGGGTGGTTTACCGGCTCTTCGGCGACAAGAATTTCAAGGTAGGATTTTAGTTTCATTTCCTGAAGTCGTTTTAATTTGGTAACGGTTTAAATTTCACATACATTTTGGTATTTAGTAAAAAAGTATCGGTGCGCGAAAATGGAGGCCATGAAAGAAAACGTTACCGAGTTTTCCATTTACGATGGTAGACTATGATAGTTTTGGGTGTTTTTACGATTTCCAGACGCGAGTCCTATTCTTCATATCTGGGTCCATACCATCTATCCATATAACTACAATCAGTAACTTTATATACAATAAAGTAAACAAAACTAATTCATCCTTCATTCGGTAGCTGGGTCCTCCCCTCGCAGCCTCAGAGCGGGAATTCAAGATCAAGAACGTCCCTACCCAGGAGTGCATCGTCGTCTGCGTCGTGTCCTTGGAGGATGTGAACGTCACCCCTAGCAAGTAAGTTCTCCCCCTCCCCCCTTACGCCGTTCCCCGTCTCTTTCATCCGTCCATTTGAATTTAAGGTTTATTTAGCGCCTGTGAAATATTGATACTGAGGTGTATTGAGATTTGGTGGGGTCCTATAGAAATGTTAGAAATTGGGGTTTCTTTTAAGTGTTTGTGGTGATGGGGTCCTTTTGAAATATTTAAATTGGGGTTTATTTTAAGTGTTTCTGATGCTGAGGTCCTTTTAATGTATCGAATCAGCCATTTTATCTATTTGTAGGGAGTCCCCTTTTGAAATAGGCGTTTTTTTAAATCTGATATACCCTTTTTTGTATTTTGAAGATGAGTTTAATTTTATTAGAGCGAATTGCTGTGAGTATAAATTGTGTTAGAGCCATACAAATAATTAGATCCTGACTTAAAAAAGAGAATACGTGCCGACACTCATCCATCTCCTCCCCCCTCTATCCTAACCCCCCCCGCAGCGTCCAGCACTCCCAATGCCGCGAGATCCGGACGGAGACGTCGGCCGCGATGCACATGGACACCATCATCATCGCGGCGTCGGCGGCCATCTGCGGCACCGTCATCATCGCCGTCATCGTCTTCATCTGCTGCAACCGGAAGCGAGGCAGCCGCAGGGACGAGAAGAACGGAATCCCCGCCGTCCTGAGCCCCGCCTCGCCCCCCCTCGCGTCCCTGGGCACGCTGGGCTCGGGGACCCTCGGGGGCGGCGGCCACAAGGCGGACTGGGACACGATCTCCATGTACTCGCAGCGGTCGATCCCGAGGGCCAGGATGTACCACATGGATAAAGGTAGTTGTGGTGGCGCCCGATCCTCCTTCGTTTCTTCTGGCTCTGTTTTTTGTTTTGTTGTTCCTTTGCTTTGATTCTGTCCCTGTCTTTATGGGATTCTCGTTTTTGTTGCTTTTTGAGTTTCTGCTGCTTGAGATTTTTTTATCAATTTATCTATGCAATTCTACGGCTGTGATTTTGGCTGTGAGCTTATTTGTCTATTTTCAAGAATTGTTTTACTTCTTTTTTCTAGAAAGGGAAGGGAAATAATTTTAATACAGTTTGAGTTGTGCCCCCTCCCCCTCCTTTTATTGTCATTAACGTCAAAAAGTCCTTCAAAGCCGTCACTCCCCTCTCGTCGCCGTCGTTGTTGTTGTCATGGCGACCTCTCCCGCAGGCTCCGTCAACAACGGCTTCATCCCAGACGACGCGCGCTCTCACATCTCTCACGCGTCGTCCAAACACATCCCACGACCCCGCTCGATGGCCGACGGGCAGAGCCAGAGGTCGTACTCGGCTCTGAGCGCCGCCCACCTCCGCCACACGCCCGCCTTCAACCCC